ATATTTTATCAATTTTCATCATAAAATCGTTTATATGGCAAAAATAATCATGCATATGTGAAGTGGCATTTGTATTTTTGTTTTCTCATTCATTTCTTAATTTTCTCTTTTTTGGGAGATACGTAATTTGTCAGAGAACGTGTTATAAATTCTCATTTCTGTTAAATAAACAGCAAATATACAGAAAATGGTGAATCCTTGATCTCAAATTTTCAGCCAACAATCAGGCATCATACAAAATTCATTTGCACCTTCTCTTGTTTTAAGTTCTCTGCTAATATAACGATTTTCAAACAGCCGGTTTACTTTACACTTTATATATTGGTCAATATTGAAGGTATCTTAATGAAACTCAGAGAAATTTTACTAGTACCATATAAATCACTTTCGACACTTTTTCTAACTCGCTTATTATTGCAAACCAGTTTTATAGATCATTTTAACACAGGTTGTATCTAGGTAGTTGTCAGCGCTTTTAGATTTATGAAATTATTATATGTGAAAATGGCGGCAAGTAAACAAACCTGTCAAAGTTGCAATAAAATAATTAGAGAACATACTAGTAGCATCGGCGCTATGTTTGTAAAAGTGGTATCACAAGAGATAGTAACTTAAGTGAAAAATTTAAAGATTATCTCGCAGAGTTTCGTAATAAAGGTTTTACAACTTGGAAATGCTCAGCATGCAATTTAGAGTTAGTATTATTGGTCGGATGACGGAGAATACAGGGTGGACGATGGACAACACAGCTTTGTCTACTAGTACCGATGTACTTGAAGTATGTTCATTAAATATCTAGCACTATTTAGAAAAATGGATAAACATGGCTCAATGTCACTGGGTTGCATGTGGCAAACAAATTTACGGAACAAAATAATAAAACAGCCCAGCAGCAGAAGCTAATGGGTAATAGATTGACAAAATTGAGCAACTACAGTCAATTAGTAATCTCAATGGGGATCCCAACTTTACAATTTCTGAACTGAACAGGCGTATGAAACGTGGTCTGGTCTTATTTATAATGTACCGAAGTCTAAAAACCGCAGATAGATCATAACGACAAGCATCAGGCAGGTTGCAGCGTTAATTACAGAAGATCTTCAAACAAGATTCAGACATCAAGTCCGTCGTCTCGGCAAGCAGTGCAGGGCAAGACTCGTCAATATTACTATACACACCATCCCCAGACAGCTAGAAGTCATTAAAGATTAATCCAGCTGACACGGGCATTAAATTCAAGCAGGCTAACACACGCACAGCAGCAGCATCTGAATATGCTCAGAACAGAGCTCAATAGGCACTAATCAAAGGTGAGTGATAACAAAGACAATCAAATATATCAACGGTGCTAAAATAGTTGATAAACCGGAACTTCATCGCCGAGAAAAATAAAGAAATGTAAGATAACAATAAAATATCAAACATAGAGGTTTAGAACAAAATTACATCAATTTATAACCTCTTCAGCTTGCTTCAATGGAATATAATTTGCGCTAGTGAAACCTGGTTACATCCTTTGATATCGGATGGTGAAATAATTGACAATAATTTTAAGTTATTTAGGAAGATAAAGACAACACAAGTGATCATAAACGTGGAGGTGGTGTCCTAATAGCGATAAAGTGATATCAATGCAACAGTTAGAAACAGAAGACAATAATATAGAACACATATTCATTAAAGTTAAATGTACGGAAGGCGACTTAGTAATAGGTTGTGTTTATCTACCTCCGTTATCACCATTGGACTTACATTAATCATACCAATACTGTTCAATATCTAAAAACAAATACCGTGACTGAAAGCTGCTAATCTTAGGAGACTACAATCTACCTAGTAGCTACCCACAAGATCAATGTGTAAATTACTTGTATAGCAATATGTTTCTTGTTAATTGCAAAACTCAACGCGATCACCAATGACTACAATAAAACCATAGACCTTTGCTTTAGCAACACAAACATCAAAGTCACTAGAGGAGATCCTCTCATTTATGAAGACAAACATCACCTGAGTTTAAACATCAGGGTGGATACTCTAGCTAATTTAAAGAAAGAAGTCAAATATATTTTTAAGAACGCAAATTACTTGGATTTAAATGGATTTTCTAACTTGCAATTGGATTGATTATATAAGCTAAGTCAATAGATGATAAAGTAGACTGGTTCTACAACGTTATAAATGAAATTATCCGGCTGTATACCTGTTTCCAACAACAAAGCAAGTAAATACCCAGTTTGGTTTTCCAGAGACTGATAATGTAAAATCCAGAAAAATCAGCACATGCAAAATATAAAAACCAAGACAAGGTAACAATATGATACATTCCGGCAACTTAGAAATGTCTGCAAAATTTAAGTAACGTGCTACAACCACTATATAATTAAAACAGAATCAAGGATTAAACAAGATGCTACAACCTTCTGGACATTTATCAAGAACAAGAAGGAGTGACACAGATATCCGGCTGCCATGATCTGGAAGAAACCACAGCTAGTAATGGAAGAAGTAAGTAATCTATTTGTATCGTTCTTTAAAGAATTTATAAAACTAATAATGACGGATTGCCTATACATGACGATCATAACAGGGTCACAAAAGAAATGGATTTATCAGAGCTCCAGGTAACATACGATGTCGTTTATAAACAAATGCGCAAACTGGACCCCAAAAAAGGAACAGGACCTGATGGTATTCCTAATTTACTTCTAAAAAACTGCGCAATAGGATTAGCAGAACCTATTACTCATCTATTTGATGCGTCGCTCAAGTCTGGCATTTTTCCATCAGCGTGGAAAATCTCCTTCATCTGTCCAATACATAAAGCAGGTTCCAGAAGTGACATAGCTAACTATAGACCCGTATGCATTCAGTCATCCATTGCTAAGCTCTTCGAGAAAATTATCCTACCTCAAATAATATCAACCTTCGAGAATATTATATCTACGACACAGCACGGATTCGTAGGAGGACGATCCACAGTTACAAATTTATATCTCTCTACAGGATACGTTCTAGACGCAATGAACCAAGGATTGAGCACTCATACCATCTACACGGATTTCTCTAAGGCCTTCGATATGGTAAATCACGGTATTCTTATCGATAAATTGAAACAATATGGTGTTAAAGGTAGTGCGCTGGATTGGCTGAAGTCATACTTAACAGATGCTATTACAATACGTGTAGTGGCTACATCAAGAATTATATGAACCCACATCAGGTGTCCCTCAGGGATCGCATCTCGGCCAATACTCTTTAACATATTCATAAACGACATCAGAGCATTTCAAATCCGAATACCAACTTTATGCTGATGCAAAGATCTTCAGGAAGATAAATAGCGATGATGATATAGATATTCTACAGCGTGATATCAACACACTCCATAGTTGGTGTCAAAATAATAATTTAAATTTAAACAAAAACAAGTGCGTGGTTCTTGTCTCTCTAATATAAACCCACCTCCAGCAACCTATCATCTCAATGAGCACCAACTATCTGAGGTATCATCAATTAAAGATCTAGGCATTATCATAGATAACAAGTTTAATTTTTCATGTCATGTGGACAGGATAACATCTCATGCCTTCAAAACACTCGGCTCTTATTCAGGGCGGGCAAAGAGTTTAAAGATGTCTACACACTTATACACATATTTAAAACGCTGGTACGTCCTACATTGGAATATGGCTGCAGTATCTGGTCACCTCACACTCAACAAATGATTGATAGAATTGAAAAAATACAACGGAAATTCTGTAAATTTCTAACATATTATATGTACACACGAGGGACCCACTTAACAACGGATGAGGTGTACAGGCACTTCAAAATCGACAGTCTATTTAATCGTCGTCGAGCTGCTGATTTAACTTTCTTCTACAAGTCAATCCACGGCCAGATACAGTGTCCGGAGATCAGCAGCCAGTTTGAATTCATTGAGTCCAGACCAGGGCTCCGTACGAGAAGGTTGTTAACCACTATGAAAACAACCAAAAACTACATTTACCACGGACCAAAGAACCGGATAGCTAATATGGTCAATGAATATATAGCAGACTTCGACTTTTTCACTAACGTCAAAAAAATAATATTAACCAGCTAGCACTCATATTATCTCCACTTTCAGTAATTATACTTATTAACCTCTCTGTTATCTCATATACTTCCATTAAAATACTAAATTCTATCAACTTATATGGTACATTATAACGTAAATATTAGCAATCTAATTCAATGTCGCAATCAAACAAAATTTTTAAAATTTTATGGACACTGCCGATTGGCGTTTCTTTCTAATAAATAAATAAATAAATAAATACTCTCTCAAAGGATCAACGTCTAACTCTTTCTTCTCGCGATTAAGGGTCAATCAAGGAGTATGTGCTTTGGTGTTTACGCCACAAGTTAGCAGAATCGATATTGATCTGTAGAACAGAATCCTAATTTGTGCAGATGACATCTTAGCCTGCAGTGACACCGAAATAACTTTGCATGGCAAAGGCCACCCATTTGCTATGTCGTGATGTCTATATGTCTTTTCTTTTTGCGTCCCGTAATGTATATGAGCTCACAACACAGCTTCTTTTGCTAGAAAGTCGGCAAGTTCGTTATCTTTATTGCTTTTGTGCCCAGGGATCCATGACAATGCCACTTTTGATTTTATTTTAAAGGATAGTGGTTACACTAGCACAGAACTAACATCATCTGTATGGAGCGGAGGGAGGTCAAGAGTCACCTCTTGTGCAGCGGTTGGGCACCTGCGCATGACAGCAGCGATGATGCACATACCAACCTAAGCATAGACTTTAATTTCCTCCACCATGGCTACTTTCACGCCATTGAGTGTTATGGTGGTGCTCAGAAGAGATTTCCTTCTCGTGAAAGAAATAATGGCCATTTTTGATGTGTTAATGTTAAGTCAAACTTTGATGCACCGTGTTTTTGCTAAGCTGCCGCCTTTCTGAATCAAATCAAAGATCAAATTTCATACTCACTTCTTGCTATTAAAATGTCATCTAGCCTAAGAAGCGGATGCCGTTTGACATTAGCATGTTTGTTTTCCTTGTTGGATGCTGCATGATTCTATGGTATATTAGTTTTCATTCTAAGAATTTCATCCACCCATCTTGTAATGGGTACCTTAACGTGCCTCCTTCCCAGTACTCGGATAACCTTAGAATGGGAGGTATTAAGCGTCATTCTATATTTAGCTCATAGGATCACTTACCGCTTATAAAAATATCCTCGATTTTCGTAACAAAACTGTACAAAGCAGTGTTTGTTATCAGCTCTGTGACCATTTTGGTTTGAATACAGTGGTTTTTGTTTTAGGGCAGTTATCCTGATGTTGTTGTTGACAAGCTTCTCATTCTTTTTAGTAAGAGAGAAGTAAGGCTTATCGGCCTGTGATTCCTCTAGAGAGTAGTCCCTCCAACCTTGTTTAGGTATGAAGATATCTATTTCTGTTCCCAACATATTTGGAATGACGGTCTCTCACTAGTTTTACTAGTCAGGATGTGCTTTTCTCTCTCCTGGAGTAAAGCTGGAAAAATACCGTCTGCTCCTAAAAGTGCTAATTGCCCATCACACCGTGATTTTGATCTGTTTAGACCGCACTAGGAAAGTATATTTTTAAAAGGTGTTTGTCCTGCCCTCCAGCCTAGCTATAAAAGTGCTACCAGGCTGCCTGATTGATAGTTTTGTCTCTAAAAGCCCTAGCGTATTGATTTCCGTAGTGTCGAGAGTTCCCCCATCAGTTGTTTTTACAACTGTACTGCGTTAATATTATGGAATTTAGGTTAAGAATGTTCCTTTACTTAGCACAAACTGTATTTCTTGGATTACGTTCTGACGGACAGGCCTTAATACCACACCCGTCTCAAAGCTAATTGATGTGTGATCCGATAGTGGAGTTTTTCTACGGAACCCTCGTTGAGAGATATAATCATTCTTATAATAGTCATAAAAGTTCGCTGACACCTTGCATTGCTAATTCCTAGGTTGCTATTCATGAAAAATTCTAGTGACACCTCACCTTATATTTTGCCTTTATTGCTCTCCCATTATACTTATGGATTGATTTTCCATACTACAGTAGTCAACCAGATTTTTAACTTCTTTCGGTGGCATCTCGAACGATTCTCCAGCGAAATTGGCCGACGCCAGATCTCTCGTTAAAAATTATGATAGAAATAAAAAGTCCATGTCCTTTCTAAGTACCGTTCAGGTTTTCTAACTACAGCACAAACTGTGAATTACTCCGTCAGTAAATGACCACGATTCTTGAATCAGGAGAGCACCCAGTTTATCCGAAATGAACTTGTTCGGAATGATAAGTCTACAGCCATGTGAGAATTCCTTACAGAACAGGCACCGCGAGGTGCGGTTCTAAACCATCGGAAGACTAGTCTGCATGTCCTCAGAAGTTAGTCCGTTTAAGAACCCCACCACAGCACCTCTCGTCAAAAAATGGTTGAAACTTCTCAAGCCTACATATAATAAATATATAGATATATTAAAAAAATTCAGCACGCAAAAAATATCTTAGTAGTCAGCTCCCTCTCTCTTATGAAATATAGAGCTTCTGACATATTAATTTGGAGAGTAATCGAACATTTGGCAGTTTTTAATATAACCTTTATATTATTAAATATTATGGATATGCTTATTTTCACGATGTATGAAAAGTAGCTAAAACTATTTGCTTTCAGCAAGCTTGTTTGATATATGTACATTCATAAGTACATAAATATTTTCAAACCAACTGATGCTGCTTCAGACTTCGATGCCCTGTTCCAAATTACAGTTTTGTATCTTAATTAGTGGCTTAGTAATGGAACTTTATAACTTTTCGTTTTACGACATTTTGTGGGCGCGGTAAACACCTAATTCCGCCCATCTTCCATACCAACCATCTCAAGGTGCCAATGAACACATGTTATATCATATTGGGATGGACATTATTATCAGAAGAAGATGTCAGTTTCACAGATATTTTCGGTAAAAAGTCTTAAATAGGCACTGAAGTCCTCATATACAAAAGGTGCCACATCTCGAAGGGACTAAATGTGCCAATTTTTAATCCAATTTCAATATAGAGATGTCAAGAGATTGTTATGTACCGATTGAAGTTTGTTAAGTGTTGCTTAGATTTGGAATTTTACTCAAAAGTGGGCGCGCATTTTTGTACCGATTCCTCAAAGTGCTAAGAAACACGTGTACTAAATAGGGATTTCTCAATTTTTATTCGAGTTATCGCTAGTATGAATGGACGGGTGGACAAGACAGACATCGTAGTTCAATTCGTCTCGTTATCCCGATCATCTTGATATATTTAGCTCAGTTTTAAGTGTCACAAGCTGCCATTATGTTGACAACTCTATTGTACTCTGTGCAACATGTTGCGAGGGTACCTGAGATATTGGAATAAAAATATGATTATAATAAATTTTGGAAAATTCGGATTCGCGTAAAACCAACCTTTCGAGTTTTCCAATCATCGACAGTGTTTTTTTGAATAAACAAAAAAGAATACTGTCAATAATTCATATATTAAACGAACATTTAATGAATTTTTCAAAACTTTGAAATTTTGTTGGTTTATTCAAAAAAATCAGTTATTCACAAATCGTGGATGCAAAACAAAAGATTTCAATAAGGCTAAAAACTTGTAAATGTGCAATAAATAAAATACCTTTAAATACATTCTGATATCAACCGAGCGAATCTTCCAATATAAGAGAATTTATGTGACTTATAATGAGCTTTTCTATGGAAGAAAATATTCGAATCAGCTAAGTATTTGTGTATTTATTTAAAATATAAAAGATTGAAAGCTCCACAACAAACTCTATTTCCAAGCTTAGGCTCGCTTAGTTTTTATCTCTTATCCAAAACTGCTACTGAGTTATGATTGTTGTAAAAGTATGAGCAAAGTACAACCTGCTGAGCAGGTTTTGTTTTCAGCACTTCAATGTTCAATCTGCAATCGACGTCTTGTCTTTAGTCTTCCAGAGACATCGTTGGCATCGTATGCCAAGTGGCTTAATTCGCTGAAGTTATATACATTAAAAATCGTGTTTCTGTAGTTCGATACGTGAAAAGTTTTAAGGTAGTCTTTTTTTAACGTACATACCTATGCAAATGTATGTAGTGGGTTTCGTACTAAAAAAAACGTAATTTTTATCTAACTCCGGCTTTAGCGCTTACATGTCAAAATTGTAACTTTCTTAATTTGTACGTGCATACTTTAACATCAATTAAGTATATAACAAATATATACTTAGGTATATGACTAGGTCTACCTATATACATACATAAGTACGTATATATATCAAAAAAATGAATCAAATTCAATGTACTTAGGTATTAACGCATATATTTTGAGAGTATGTGAACGTAGTCATGTGTTTGTGAGCATTGGTACATGTATGGGTTAGTCCCATTTCAAAAATAATCATTATATACTGACCATATACATAGATACTGTGCATATCATTAGTTAACTATGTAAAATGAAATTGCTATTAAATATAGTTCGGCTAATACGCGTAAGCGTTTTTTATGCCTCTTTCTACATAAATATAAATGGATATGTATATAAAAATACAAACATAAATATATTTGTACACAAGAGCGTTCATGTATAACCAAGCGTGTTGGTACAGTTTTTTTGCTACACACTAAACTAACACAAGCATATGTTATATAAATTTATACCCATCTGTAAATAAATATACATATACGTATGCATATATACATGAATTTACCTTAAATACATAAGTGCATACATTTGTGAAGTATTTCGAGAGGTGCAATTTGTGTAATGCTTTGGTAGGTTATATAGCGAATACAAAGGTATATATGTATGAATGTAACTTAAAATGCTATTTTTATATGTTTATAAAGGAATTTAATTTTTAATATAAATATGCACTACATATACATATACACAAATACGTTAATTATTATTTATGGTTGTGTGTAAATATATATATCGTTTATACATAGCAGCGTAAATATATTTTTAAGTGCTTCTTGATCACCTTGGAATAAAAAATAATTGCATGCCATTTTTGTTCGATCTTGGCTTTTTTCTGTGTTGCTACTTTACATACACATCACTCTTTGCGAATTCACATATATACATATATTGTGTGCACCCAAGACTTATTTTGCTCAAAAGATCTTTTATGCGTATCGTATTGATATGGTGCCACATAATAATTTGTGTTTTGTACAATACCTTAAAAATATAAAACTCCAGAAAAACAGTGAGTCATTACCTCGAAGGAAACGTGATTAGGATACGAAATGTTTAATTATACATACAAAACACAATATTCTAAAATAAGAATCGCATTTTCATTAGCCTACCTATGTCCATTTAAATATAATATATTCATAATTTCGCAATGTTTCAAACGACTCTTTTATTCACTTATTTAATTTATACAGATTTGCGACCCCGGTCAAGGTAGTAAATTTTATACATATAAATGTATATACATGTTTGCATGTGTGTGATGAACGGTTTATAGACCTTGTACTGATTGTATATATTGAATTCAGTGTGTACCCATAAATTTATATTTACATAAAGACATACAATGTATCTGCTATTGCATTAAAATGTTTAAATATTATATACTTTTTTAAAGAAAAAAACACATAAAATTCTATTTTAATGGGGAATGATTATTACCATTCGAAAGAACATTCTTTGGCATTTATTTTTTGAAGATTATCCCTTTTAAAATGTTGATCGCGGCTACGTTTCAGATGGTTTATCCGTTGAATCCAATTTTCGATGACTTGTTCGAGCATTTCGACTAGTAACTGGCGAATGACACGCGGGATGCTCTAAGGCCTGAATCGAAGCGGGATTGTACGCTTGATTGTACGGATTGTATTTCTTATGAATTCTTTGTAAAATGTTAAGAAAGCCCAAAATCGAGGTAAAACTAATGTTATTTAAATCCTAAAACCATCGTGTGAAAACACACTTTTCACTAGGCCCCTTGCACTACATATGTATATAGGGAAATCCATCCCTCATATCGATTTTATTTCGTAAAAATTATTTCGTGGGACATCTTTGTGATATTATGTGGATTTGTTTTTTTCTGAATGCCAAATATTCGGCCCACAAATTTCTCTGTTCCTCATAAGCTCAATATAATAACTCTCGTTTTTTGGATACTTGGGAGGTATCTCCATGAAAGGAAATAGGATTTGGTCTCGCAGAATGCGGAGAGTTGAAAATTTCCCCTATCAAATAATATCTTCGATTCACCAAGCGTTACTCTACAGGGAATCGAACCAACTACACTAGATGTTCAAACAAACGGGCTGCACTTGTGCTGCAAACCTGTGCTAACATGTTTTCTGACGCATGCGCAATAGTGTTATGATTCTTTCTGATTGGGAAATTATTTTTTTTTATAAATTACTGTCATTCATTTTAAGTCTTAAACTTTAAAAATACAAAAAAAAGTAAGAAAGGGCTATGTCCGGGTTTAACCAAACATATCCTACTCTTGTCACCTGCTATGATCAAAGAAGGGGAAATATTATACCATCAGGTGTTGGCTAAACTTCATATTGAAAAATGTTGCAAAAGAATTTAACATTCATTATTCGACGAAATTGTGAATGAATTACAATCAATACTATATTCGGCATTAAACTGAAGTATATCCAATTATATAAGTTCAATTAATTTTGCTAAGATTTCTTACATATTGACCGATATATACGGTATAAGACCAACCGAAAGTCTGAAAATAGTTTATTAGGTATATGGGAGAGGTATAGTATTGGCCCGATTGTATCATTACTACTATTAGCAGAACCTTTGAGTTTCATTAAGGTATCTCACATACCAACAACAATATATGAAGGGTAAAATGATATTAATTATATGGGGGCTACATTATTATTAGAGCAATACGCTCACTCATTTTTATTAACATAACTACATATACTTGTACATATGGTGACTAAGGAATAATTGATCCGATTCTATACATGAGATGTTGGTTATTATAGCTTTAGCGGTTTGGGAGATATTTACATTAAATTTCGGTTCGAATATACCAAATAACAGTATTGTATCATATTATTTAGAGTTATGGCTATTTATTGGTAAGGTGAACAAAACTATTATACTCTGTAGCAACATGTTACAAGAGCATAAAAGAGAAATTTTTATATCAATAGTAAAACTGATCCAAAATATGCAAAATACAACTTGGTAGCACCGAAGATAGCAGCTATACCAATTGAATGCGGTATCTGCATACTCTCTTGTTCGAATTCAACTGGATAACTTTGTTGTTGGTTTTACCATATATGTATTATAACCTTTTTGACAAGAGAGCAGAGAAATGGCGAATCGAGGACAGCTCATATTAACGCACTTGCAACATGTTGCTATAGGGTATACTAGTTTTATTCACCTAACAGCAGTTTGTATAACTTAAAACTAATCGAAATAGATATAGATTTATATAACTAAGTTCCAAATTAAGACACAACACTGTTATTTGGTACAAGGGATTGCATTGAAAAGGGACATATGTAGTTCGAAAATTTTTTAAATATGGGCGCAGTCCCGCCCCCTAATAAGTTTAATGTACATATATCCCAAATATCTGTTATTTTGGTCCTTATACGAGTATAACATAATATGGTTTAGCGCTGAATATAAATATAGTCGGTCTAGACCGTAGTCCAAGCCCCTTATCAATAATAGTTATACTGATTTCGGTTTCTCTGATTGTCTTTTCCCTCATATTCCCAATACATTACGTTTAACTGATTAAATTTAATTATGCGGATTTTAACATACAGATACATATGTATGTAGCAGAATATAGTAAGTGAAAAAGTGAAGGTATTTTATCCTTGCAAGTTACGAGAGTATAAAATTTTCGTTTACAGCCGACCTTAGCTCTTTTTAAATATTAATGATATAGTTTTTAACACTATGACAAAAATATAATAGTTGGAAACTACTAATTAGACGTTTTTTAATTTAAAATTTCCAGGAAGTGGCAATGCAAGGCCGAAGGCATACATTTTGTACGAAGCTCTATAGTACTTATTTACGAAAATGGTGTAAGTATTATATTTTAAACCTTTTATTTTTGGCTTCAGATACGAAATTTATATAATTTATGAATTGGATTCGAAACTCGTTACACAATACATATCTAAACTGCAATTGATAACTTTTTACCATATTCCAAATACATATGTTCATACATAAGTATTATATACAAGTACAATTCAAAAGTTCCAGGACTTTTTAAAGAACGCGGCTTCTAGTGGCCTGTCTGAAATTGTTATCCCTCAATTGTGTATTATTCAGTGTTGTCGTATAAAATTTATGTAACAGCTGACTTGTATAACAGTTGAGATATCGCTCTACATGTGACATTACATTTGTAGTGTCGGTCAGAAAATGAGCATCGAACAAAGAGCCAACATTAAGTTTTGTTTTAAACTTGGTAAAACTTTTACCAAAACTCATCAAATGATGAAACAAGTTTATGGCGATGATTGCCTATCCCGTAGCCGTATTCACGAGTGGTTTAAACGTTTTCAAGAGGGACGGGAGGACTTGGAAGACGACGAACGTTTGGGCCGGCCAAAAGATGTTGTGAACGAAAAAAACACGGAAATTGTGGGTGAATTCATTAAAAAAGAGCCGAAATCATTGCTTAAATATATGGAATCAGAATTATCATTATCTGCAGCGTCGATTTATCGTATTTTGACAGAAAATTTGGGCCTCAGAAAGGTTTTGGTCTCGATTTGTCCCGCACACTTTGAAACAACACGAAAAAGACCTCTGAATTCAACATTCAATTTGACCAAAAATCGCATTCATATCATCAACCACTCACCCTATTCGCCTGATATGGCACCCTGTGATTTTTATTTGTTCCGAAAACTACATTTGGCCATGAAAGGAAACCGACAAATGACCTAAAAAAGTTATTCGATAACCTTCTTGAACGTGCAAAACGTTGTATTCAGGCGGAAGGAGACTATTTTGAAGTCGACCAATAAATTTTTCAAAAAAAAAACAAATAATATTCGTTTTTTAATAAAAGTCCTGAAACTTTTGAATTGCACCTTGTATACATAATATTTTGATCCAGTAGTGTTGTTCACTACTAATTATAGTAATATTACTACGTCGGTAGCGACGGTATTGCCGACTACCCACGATTTATAAATGTTTTGTTTAAGTACCGTTATAAAACTGGTGTATTACAAAGTTAATGAGCTTATTTACATCAATTTCTTATTGCTATTAACATACGATTACTGCTGCCGTTCGTTGACTATCGGTGCTTTACCAATTTACATACTCCATGAGATTGAGTTGCAACTTAATAAAACATATTTGTTAAGCGCATTTACATCTACGACAGTGCGTGATGCCACGGGTTGACCCAATCTTTCTTTATTCGTCGTTATTTACAGTATGTACCCTATTTTTGCAGTGTCAGAATTTTATAACAAGGAAGAATTTGCCAAGTCATCTTAAATAGTGGCCCGGGTAGAAGTTTCGCAATGCATAGGTCTGGTTTTTACACCAAAGAAAATGAATGAACGTTTTGAGAATGCACCTCACTTCGAGAATTATCAGATTTCTAAGCAATTTAGAAGTTTGTCTGTAACCTCACAGTCACATGAGTTATAGTAGTATAAGGTATCTGCCACGTCATTTTCTTTTCCTGACTTGTAAAGGACCTGGGTGCCACTCTATTCGATTCGCGCTTTCCTGAGTTTTATTTTTGATGGGAAACGATGACAAAAGGGCTGGTGGTCTTTATAGATTCTTATGTCATTCTTACCGTATAGGTAATGGCTGTCTAGGGCCCAAACGATGGTAATCTCTATCCTTATCTCGAAATCATAGTTACGGGTTTGTTTTCTTGAGACAACTCTGCGTCTATGTCAATTAAAAATGCATCATTAGCCAAATCAAAATGGACTTTAAAAATCTGGAATGAAGTACAACTTCTTGCTCTATCGAAATTATTCTTTAAATGGTATTTGCTGATTTTTCCGTTTGGATTTGGTACCCTCTTTTGCGACGACAAAGCCAATGAAGTCTGCACTTTCGTTAAAGATTTGTATTTTTTGTTTAGAAACCCTCATATTGGCGTCGTAAAGTCTTCAGACTAGAATACTATGACATCGTTAACGTAGATATATCAGGTTTATCCAATCATGTCGCGTAAAACATTATTTATTGCTCGCTGAAAAATGCAATAAAATGCTATAACTTCACATTAATTATAAAACTGGAATTCGGTACAGGAATTCGCTGTAGTGAGGGCACGTGTGGACTGAAATTTTAATTAAATAAAAAAAAAAAAAGTATGTATCAAAAATTAAAAAAAATAATAATATTAAACAAGTAAGGAAGACCCAAGTTCGGCTGTGACCCAACATTTTATACTCTTGCAACTTGTAGGATCAAAGCCGGCTAAATACCTTCAGGTGTTGGCAAAACTTTATTTTAAGAAATGTAGCGACTTTTATTAATATGAACATATAACATATATGAAGTAAAATCAGACGAACATTTCAAAATCGTGAATATCAGTTATATGGCACAAAGATACACTGTTGTTAGAAAAACACGCTCTCTCAATTTCCTTAAAATAACTCATATATGGACCGATATACAAGTATGTATGTGGTATAATGTCAACTGGAAGTTCGAAAATCTTTATATTAGGTATATAGGGGCTAAGGGAAGTATTGATCTGATTCAACCTATTTTGAATACAAGGGTATATTATTATCAAAGAAACATTTTCCCCAAATTTCTATAATATATCTCACAGATTGACCGATATTTTTCCAAAAAGTCTGCCATACGCACTGGGGTCCACGTAATTGGCGTCTGCATTCTTAAAAAGTTACTATCCGATTTCGACAATTTTTGAAGGTAAGATAAAATACCTTGAGGGCACTATTAGTGCAACGATTGGTTCTTGGCTTATATGCTCGAAAGTGAAAGAATCAGATAAAACTTTAAATTTTATTATATGGGCAGTAGGCGTCGTTTTTGTCCGATTTCGCCTATTTTCATTTTCACACTGTAATGTAGGTATGTATGTCAGGATAACATTACATATCGAATTTGGTAGAAATTGGTCGAATAGGTCCCAAAATATGCATTTGGAACCGGCTCCTATAGAGCCTTGGGGAAAGAGCGGGGTTATAATCCGATTTCATCCATTTTCACACTGTCGGTAGGTGTTCTTTAAGTATTTGTCCTAAGCGAATTTGGTTTATGTAGCTTTGGTGGTTTAGGAGATAAAACCTATTAGAAGACAGGACCACGCCCATTTTTTCAAAATTTTTAGCCCTCAGATGTACTTTGCTACTGCAGTTCTTTGTACCAAATTAGATTGTTATATATTAATTTAGTGCTTTGCTATGGCACTTTTAAAGTTTTCAATTAATGGCGTTTTGTGGGCGTGGCAGTGATCCGAATACGTCCTTCTACTAACTCGTCCTTACTATTTCACCAATATACACGTGTACCAAGTTTTATTAGGGTATCTCAATTTGTACTCAAGGTACAGCTTGCACAGGCAGACCGACGGACGGACAGACAATTATTCTCTCGAATTTCAACTTGTCTCGTCATTCTGATCATTAATATATATATAAAACCCTATATCAAACTCGATTATTTTTAGGTGATAACTACAAACAATTGTTAGATGAACAAAACTATTATATTATATTAGGTAAAGTAAAAAGTTCGTTCGGTTTTTTATTGATTTTTCAAAAGATGATAATTTTTGTGTACATTTGTCCGATTTAAGTCAAATATGCGCCGTTTTGTTCGTAAACTTGTTGCCAACGAGATGCTAACTTCATTATACCCCTTTCGTAGAAGACTGCGTCCATATTGCCAAAAAACTCGGAGAGCCAATTTTCACAGGCCTCTCTTGAGGCCAACTTCTCACCATTAAGCGCGTTCGCCATGGACAGGAAAAGATGGTAATCACTTGGTTCCAGGTCCGAACTATAAGGTGGGTGCATTAGAACCTCCCATCCGAGCTCCAGGAGCTTCTGGCGAGTCACCAAAACGTGTGTGGCCTGGCGTTGTCCTGATGGAACACAACTCGGCCTCTGTTGATCAAAGATGGCCTTTTCTGGATGAGTGCTGCCTTCAAGCGGTCCAGTTGTTGGCAGTAGAGGGCCGAATTGAGCGTTTGGCCATAGGGGAGCAGCTCGCAGTAGATGATTCCTTGCCCATCCCACCAAACACACAGCAAAACCTTCCTGGCCGTCAATCAGGTCTTGGCCACCATCTGGGCCGCTTTCCCGATTTTGACCACGACTGTTTGCGCTCGATGTTGTCATAAGTGACCCATTTTTCACCGCCAGTCACAATTCGCCTCAGAAACGGGTCGATTTTGTTGCGATTTGCAGATGGAAATTCGGTCCATTATGTTTTTTGCGTTAGTTCGTGTGACACCCAAACATCGAGCTCCTTTTTGAATCCAAGGTTATGTAAATGGTTCCAAACGGTTTTCTGGCTTATCTGTAGTTCCTCAGCAATTAAATAAGTGCTCACGTGACGGTCTGTTTCCTCTATTTTCATGATTTTATCGCAATTTTGGACGACAGGCCTCCCGACGCGTAGTGCATCTTTGACATCGAAATTACCGGAACGGAACCTAGCAAATCACTTTTGTGCTACATGTTCGTTTACAGTATCGGGCCCATAAACTAAATTAATGTTTTCAGCCGCTTTGGCTGCTTTTTCGCTTTGATCGAAGAAAAATTGTAAAATATAGCGAATTTTCTCTTTGCTGGTGTCCATCTTTGACGAGCGCTCACAACGTACTGAGTCAATCAATCGAAAAACTGTCAAAGACAAACTTTTAGCACGAATAAACACGTTTTCAGCGCCGTATAGTATGACATGATGCGACACGTAACACTAGTACTATGGACAATATCGCCATCTCTTAGATAAAAACCATACAAGAGTATAAAATGGGCTTAGAAACTTCCATCTGAGTCTTTCACTTTACAAGGCACAAATTGAACACCTCCAAATACCGAATGTTGTAACCCAAGTGCATATAGTTTAGCTGACTTTCTACCGAAAGTTTCGGCCAATTTATGAAATATAACAACGGAACTTAGGGAACGCTTTTTCTGGTAATAACTTGTCTTCATGCTCAGGAATAGTAAGATCGGGTCAATGCTTTTCATAGCACCGCGTACTTAATATAGGGATTTTCAAAGTTTAGCTTAACTTTATACCATATATATTATTGTATATTTATTAATATGTGAGTTTTCTTAATGAAACTCAGAGAGCATCTTCGAAATAAATCGGCTCAATACCATTCCTTGTCCACTATACCTATTAATGTTTAAGATATCTTAGCAAAATTAAGTGAACGTATAACCCAGAGCATCCCCTTGCCCCAATAAAACTTTAAACACTTTGTATTAGTCAAAATATTAAAATGAAATTAATTGTGTACGTTTTTTCGTAATGTGGTTTAACGCTGAATTTGGTCTAACTCCATATTCTCAATATAATAAATTCCAATTCCAAAAATTATTAGTTTTTAAAATGGCGGATATTTATATACATATGCATATATAATTAATATAACATTTTTTTTTTTTTAGGGATTACGATAGCATTCGCAATATCCCTCATTATTCTTGGAATTCTGGTTACTTGTGAATTTACAGCGCTAATTAATGTAATAATAAACTATCAAGTTGCCCTTCGGCCGGGAAGTCAAACATTTGGATGGTGGGCTAAGCCACCTGTAGAACCGAAAATATCAGTTTACGTTTATAATGTCACAAATGCAAACGAGTTTTTGAATAATGCTTCCAAACCAATTCTTGATGAAGTGGGCCCTTATGTTTACACGTAAGTATGATATCAATTTCAACTATATTTATACATACATACATATATGTACATAGGTATGCATGTTAGAGCGGGTCTATATTTTTTTTTTTAAATCGAATATACGAAAAGTATTCTAAGAATCATTCTGAACATCTTTCTTTCAGAGAATATGGGTCTAAAATCGGTTTTGAGGAAGCGATTTTTTAAGTGAAGTTTTTTTTCTATTGATCATTTGTCAGAATAGGCTAGATCGTACAAATATATCACAAATCACCCACGCTACCAATTATTCAGAATATTTATGGAACAATTCCTTCAATTTAAAAGATAAGAGCTCGTAATTTTGCAAAATAGTCCTTTGAGGTATACTTAACAATGACAGTGAAAATAAACAAATTCGGACAACATAACATATATCTCCCATGCAACCAATTCAGAAAAGAAGGACGACTTTTTTCTTGTCTCTTGTTTTTAATTGAAATTTATAATTCATGAAATGAATGAAAAATATTTTTCGAATGCGGGATCCACTTGTTACTTATTACATTTGCTACACTTAAAACTTATTTTATGCTTTTTTGTATGGGAGATATATGTTTTATATATTTGTAGTTGTCCGAGTTTGTTTGTTTTCACTGCCAATGTTAAGTATTATATATACAAGTATTACAGGACTATTTTGCAAAACTACAACCTCTTAGCTTTTTAATTGAAGACTTTATTCCAGAATAAAATCTGAATAATTGATTGTTAAAGGCAGGCAGCCGGAAAGTAAAATAACTGAATAATCGGTTGTATGGGATTGTATGGGCCGATTCTGACAAATGAACAATAGAATCTCAAAATGCATCCATGTATTAAATTTCATTTGGATATCTTAAAAACTGACGAGAAATTTCTATAATCCCGAAAAAACTTCACTTAAAAAATCGCTAGCTCGAAACCGATTTTAGACCCATGTTCTCTTAGGCAAAGATGTTCAGAATGGTCCGTAGAACATTTCCCGCATATGCAATGTTTGCGTTTTTTGGTTTTTGGGCTACCTGTAAATCAACCCGCTCTAAAGTATATGTATATATTCTGAGAGGAACAAGCGAAACTAAATGTCCATATATTCTATTTCTGTCTTTTCATTAAAATAAAGTTAAGGCACTATTAATTATTTACTGTTTCGTTTTTATAATCATTTAGCCGAAGATGATATTATTAGATCAAAAGTTAGTGATAATACAGGGTCACAATAAAGCGACGAAAGAGAAAAGAATTCATTCTTTCTACGTCTATGTTACATCAAAGGAAACAGTCATTGATGAATTTACCGCTTAGAGACGGCATTTCACATTTGGCGATCAGGGTAAAAGTTATACTTTCACTTTATTATTTACAAAGCTTTTGAAGCCATTTTACAATGTTCAAATAATCAGTTAAGATTTCTTGCAAAGAAGTGAAATTTTTGCAAACTATCTTATAATTAGTAAAATCCCCAATCTCAAATAGACGATTATATTTTTTACATACAAGTATTAAGAGTTTTAGTACAGGTTTACTATGGCCTAGGAGGTATCAATTGCCTAACTTCGGTAATATACTACTATATTAGCTTTAAATAAAAAATAAAAAATATATATTTCAAAGATGATATCATTCAGGAAATTATTTTCAATGTTGTAAAAAAAGTAAAATGTGAAGAAGTTTCTTTTTTTGTTTTTTAGCTTATGTTATTTTTTATAATTAAATTTTTTTATAAATACACGAGTTCGTGACATAATTAACATACATACAAATTTCTTGATTAATTAAAATGATTAATTTATGTTTATAATCAGTAAAAAAAATTTGTAAAAAAAAATCTTTTACGCCTTTTAGGGAGTCGTGGGAAAAAGTCAATATTGTTGAAAATGAAAACGGCACATTAAGTTATAATTTGAAAAAAGTTTACATTTTTCGAGAAGATTTGTCATTTGGAATGGAAGATGATGTTGTAATTGTTCCTAATATCCCGATGTTAAGTGCAACGTCTCAAAGCAAACATGCAGCTAGGTATATGGTTTTGATTTTAATTTATTTCTCATTTAAATAAGATCATTTTATTCACAATTCGAATATTAGATTTTTGCGACTTGCCATGGCTAGTATAATGGATATTTTGAAAATAAAGCCATTTGTTCAAGTCTCTGTTGGTCAGCTATTATGGGGCTATGAGGATCCACTTCTTAAATTAGCTAAAGATGTTGTACCTAAGGAGCAAAAGCTGCCATATGAAGAATTTGGATTAATGTACGGTAAAAATGGGACGTCTACTGTGAGTGCAATATTTTTAATTTTCCTTCAAATATGGTTATAATACAATTCTTTTTCCAGGATCGCGTTACTATTTTCACAGGAGTAAATGACATAAAACAGTACGGAATAATCGATAAATATAATGGAAGATCCTATCTACCTCACTGGTTAAATGATGATTGTAATAGATTAAATGGCACAGATGGTTCAATATTCCCGCCACATATTGAAAAGAATCGCATTCTATTCGTATACGATAAAGATTTGTGCAGACTTTTACCACTTGTGTATGAAAAAGAAGTACAAATCAAGCAAAGCATCGTTGGTTATAGGTTCACACCGCCCGAAAATGTATTTTCAGACGTTGAAAGGAATCCCGAAAATATGTGTTTTTGTCCAGCAGGACAACCTTCCTGTTCACCAAATGGGCTATTCAATGTTTCCCTTTGTCAATATGGTATTAACATTTAAAATCTTAATACTATTGTATAATGTATTAATTTAACATATATATATTTTTGATATTAATTTATTAAGATTCCCCAATTATGCTGAGTTTTCCGCACTTTTATTTGGGTGACGAAAATTTTCTCTCTGCAGTGGAAGGAATTTCACCACCCGATAAGGAGAAGCATAAATTTTTCATTGATGTTCACCCGGTAAGTGAAAAATTTTATTTCATAGCATACATACCTAACTATTGTAACGCAACTCAATTATAGAAATAGAAATTAAGAAAGAAATTCATTGTAGGTTGAAACCCATCGCAAACGCAAGATAAAATAGCAAATATTAAAGAAAAAATATGTGAAAATAAAGGGGAGAGGCGTGGTTGAATTTTTAAAGGTCAAAGCGGTTGATTGATGAATAATTCAAATAACCAAGTTTTTAAGTTTTATATATTTATCTTGTACAAAAAATTGTTTCTTTCAAGAGATTTGGATAAACTTACCTTCTTATATTCCAAATATGCTTTATTTTAAAATATTAATTAGTTATAATAAATAATTATATAAATTAGTTTTAATATTTTCGTTCACCGAACGATTATTTGCGGCGGGTTAGATATATAATATTAAAATGATCAAAGTTGAAGTTTGTCCGCCCATCAGCACGCAATAATTTGAGTATAAATTGAGATATCTTGATGACGCATTTTAAACACGTATTCCTGGGCAATCTGAGGCGTGGTAATGGTCTCATTGTAATACTGACTTCTGTTACCCCCAAAAGGTCGTTCATCAAAATTATAAAACGCATAAATAATGTTACAAGCACAAGGTGCTAATATCTCAGGAACAATTTATCTTATTTCAATCAATTTTCTTTTTATCCAATCATAAAGTTGTTACAGTTTGAAAATGGGTGACTGGATTAGAACCCCCCTATCGGTCAATATTTTTTGAGTATCAAATTTTGCTAGCTTTCCCTACTTGTTTTAAATTAACTTCGTTGATATGAACGTGCTTCGCTACTTTTCGTGCAGTTTCTCAAAACAAGAAAAACGTTAACATCGGTTACAAAGAAGCTATATATTAACAAAGAAACAAATTTTCCATTCAAGGGCTTGATTTTGATTGTTCAGTTTGTATGGCAGCTATTACATATACTTTAGTGATCCGATCTAAATAATTTGTTCGAAGATTGTAGTGTTGCCTTGGGAAATAATCCATGCTAAATTTCGTGAAAATACCTTGACAAATCAAAAAGTTGTATATGTAAGGACCTAATTTTAGTCGATCAGTTTGTATAGCAGCCATATGCTATGGTGGTCAGATCTAATAATTTTTTTCAAAGATTTTAGCGTTACCGTTATACACGCCGAATTTCATAGAGATATCTTGTCAAATAAATATTCTCCATACAAGGAATTGATTTAGATCATTCAGTTTGTATGACAGATACTTATATAGTTGTCTAATATCGGCGGTTCCGACGTTTCCTTCTGGGTGTTACAAATTTCGTGGTAAAGTTAATATACTCTGTTCAGGGTATAAAAATTACATGTAAAAGTAACAACAAAATTATTGAGTGGAATTCGTATTAGAGATTATGCGGATAGCTCATTCAAGTTTTAAAACCGCTTAGTTTAAAGAGAACAAAACTAAGAGGTTACTAAAACGTGAGAAAGAGTTTCTCCAAAAAAGCAGAATCGTAGAAAAGTTTTGCATTCGACAAGTCACACTTTAGGGCAGGGTTGCACCACAAGTGCTGCCCGTTTCTTTGAACTTCTGGTATAGTTTGTTTGATTTAATATTCTTCAACGCTTGGCGAATCGAAGACTGCTATTATTACAAATACTGTATATAAGAATACATTTCTTTTGTCATATTTTCTTCAATGACCAATGTTGGTGAAATCATAATACAAAATTCTTCAAAAAATTTAATATAAGCAACATTTTTGATACAAGTTTAACTTCTTAGCATTACATATAACATCCCAAATTTTATGGTAAATAAAAATAATTGCATAATATTTTCAATCGTATGAATTTATTATGGCACGACATTATTGATCAAATGTTGTTTAAATAAGGGAATGTAATTACTAGTACGACTTATGTACTTGTAAATGCCTCAGCCATCAACCTGTTACAATAGAAACAACGAAAGATTTTAAATTAAAATCTAATATATATACCGTTAGGATTGTAGCGTATTTTTTATCTTTTTTCGATTGCGTAAAACATTTTGATGCAAAGCAAACCATGACATGTTGTACTTTTCGTTGAAGTTTTCGCATATAGCGCATTGAAAGAATTATTTGCTTTCACAGAAGCATGTGAAAGGCATCAGCTACGTATTATACTGTTCAAGGAGGATTTCAAAGTTCAAGTCTGGTTGATTGCAATTGATTCACAATTTTCTCTAATAACGAATGTCAAAATATTTACACGTCTTCTTATGACTTGTGCGAGTATTGATGCTCGGCTGCATAGGAAATTAGCGCTTACTCGTTATACCCTGAACAGGATATATTAAGTTTACCACGAAGTTTGTAGTTCGAGGAGGAAACCTCAGAGACCCTATAATATATTTATACATCAATGCGCAGCGTGACGAACTGAGTCGATTTAGACATGTCTGCACATGAGTAAGGTATTATAGCTTCGGTGCAGTTGAAATTAAAATGTTTTTCTTTTTTTTTACTTTAAATTGATCAAAAACAAGCTGTGTTCAAAATAGATAAAATAAATGATTTAATACTAATTTCAAATATGAAATTTTAAATATATTTCAGACGATGGGAACAACATTAAGAGCTCGTGCTCGAGTCCAGATCAATTTAGCTGTCAGTCAAGTTTTCGATATAAAACAAGTGGCTAATTTTCCTGATATTGTCTTTCCCATTTTGTGGTTTGAGGAAGGTATAGACGAACTACCGGAAGAAATAACCGATTTGATGAGCTTCGCCGCAACCGTGCCGCCAAAAATGCGTTTGGGTATTATAATTGGCCTATTCTCATTGGGTGCTTTTCTTTTCTCGCTTGCTTTATTCTGTTTAATAAGAAGCTCGAATAGACAAAGCACACTTCACTTGGAAGGTTCTAATTATTTGGCAACAGCACAATTCGATTTGACAAAGAAGAAAGCTAAAGAGTCGAAATAAAAATATTCTATACTACGCGTATTTTATATAATTATTAGAAACTTAGATAAGGAAGCGGGATATGTACTATACTTTAATAATAGGAGTTAATGTTGCATATTTTTTATTATAATTAACCTGTGTAAATATTTATACATATATGTATGTGTACCCATACTACGGGTATTACAAATATAGTTTTGGGTTTTGTTTCCCTAATATACATTTATTTTTATACATAATATTATATTTAGCTTCGGTAGCATTTTTTACAAAAGTATTGACCAGACAACAGTAAGCAATCTTGATTTTTTTTTAATTTTATTTAAATCACCTTACGTCTTATTATGATGATGATGGCGATATTTTTATAATTGAATAAAAACTTATAAATATATATAGTACATTTTTCCACATAATAATAAAAGGAAAAAAATAGTATCAACATTTTTTAAGATTGAATTTTATTAACGGATTCTCTTCAAAAACACATAATAGACCAGAATTTTTTTATTTTAAAATGTTTACAAATGTCCATAGCATATGGGCATGCTCATTTTATAATATTCAAGACTGAATAGAAAAAGCGTCTCTTTTTGTCGTAACAATTCTTTTTAATAAAACTATGAGCATAGGGAAAATACCTAAGTATTTAATGTTCATATTCTTTATTTTTTTTTTGTAATATAATAAGTAATTTAAAATTAATTGATTGAAATGTATCAAATGGGCTTACCTGTACATAATGAAAGTCTAAAACTTATTTTTTTTGTAAAATTATTTATATGTACAGATCCATAAAATATACAAGCAGTATAGCATAAGCAATTTCATTGCTGCTGCATACTAATATATAACGCTGAAATACATTTATTGCTTTTATCTAAAATTCAATGATCACCTTTAAATATGATATGATATGTTTGAAACCAATGAACACTACTTTTTTTGGAAATATGTCCTTAGCACTATCCGAAATGCACTATGCAAAGCTGGTAGTAACGATTTTAAATTTCTATTTTAATTCTTATGTACATATATCTTTTATTTGTTAGTTAAATTAAGTAAGCTTATTGTAATAGTAGTCGTTTCTATTTCTGTTGTATCGTAATCGTATATTTATAAATTTTTTACATAAAAATTTACATAACAGAATTCCATACCAAATTTTAGAATTATGTACAATAGTTTTAATTACATTGCATTGTAATTGCTACTTTACAAAGTTTATTATACCTATGTACATGTCTAGATCTTAAAAACTTTCATATGAATTTAAAATTTATTCAAACATACGTACATATACAGGTATATAATATGTACATTGATGTGTATTAAAATATTGTAATACTCAATAAAAGGAAGTGGGTGTAAAAATCTTAATATTTGTTATGCAATGTTACTCATGTGTTTAGAACAAGGTAGTCTTAAATATGTATAGCAAATGTTGTTTTGGGATTATGTTTTGTGTTTAACTAGAATAAATATTGTGTAACTTATTTTATTTTGTTGTTTTTTTACTTAGACAAAAATATATCAAGATTATGTAATATGTATGGCACGACTAAGTAAAAATCTTGGTGTTATCATTCTTCGGACATACACAGCAGTTACACCATCAAGAACTTGCTTTCAAGTTGATCACACAATCTGCTTGTCAAAATTTCAATAATAGTTTCAAGATGACATCGTCATGGAATCCATTTAAAATTCTTGAAAGTTTTGAACGAAATTAATATTTTAGTAGAAAGATCGAAAGTGAAGAAAGAGATAAGTTGAGAAAGGCAATCACATTGTACGAAAACAATTAGAGAGTATATTCAAAATCCAGAGTTTTACTTTTTTCAACTTTACTTGTTTTGCACTATAGCTATGTTATTCGAGAGACACTTACATTTTAATATCTGCAGAAATTGATTGATATATGTACTTATATTTTGACATCAATTCATTAATATAACGAAATATTCACATTCCCAATCCAATTAACATATAGCTCATCCTGTTAGTAAAAGTAACAATTCCTTATAATCATACCTTTACACTATGCCGAAGAAAGGCGAAATTCGCCAGTGGGATGCAGAAAACATGAAAAATTCCATTCAGGCTGTAAAAGTGGAAAAGTTGGGAATACTTTTGGCGTCAGAATTATATTTGAAAGTTGCTTGTATTATATTTTTAAGAAATTGAGGCAATGTTTTGGGTACTAACTCGAAGTGACGTTCGCTCGCTGGCATTTCAATTAGCAAGGCGAAACAATATCGAGAACCCATCTTCTGTAATCAAAGAATGGGCTGGGAGAGATTGGCAGCTTGGCTTTCTAAAAAGGCATAAAACGTAAATGAGTTTACGCAGTGCCACCTTATGTGTCCGTATGGATCCAAATACCATTATTTACCTAGTGGTTTGATCACTTTTTCCGTTTCAATAATCCGTTAAAGGAAAACCCCATTCTGCTTATTTTGGATGACAATTACGGTCATACGAAGAATATTGACGTTTTAGATAAAGCCCGAATTGTATCACAAACACAGAGAAAAAAAATTTTAGTTTATCAAAATGATGACTGATCTCTATATTTCGCAGTTTGTGGTTCAACTGATTAAGGCATATATTGAGGCATCTACGGTTAGTGACGTGTACAACAGTATGATAGTCAAATGAGTCATTAACACCGCGGAAATGGTGTTATTATCTTGTCATTGCCACCTCATTGCACATATAAAATGCAACCTTCAGATAAAGCGTTTATGGGTCCTCTTACATCATATTAGAACGATTTATGCTTCATAGCTCAAAACCAAGAAAATGAGGTGGAAGATGCGCAACTAAAAGGAGAAACCAATTTAGAAGAACCAATCGCCAGCACAAGTAAAGAAGCCATGACAAATTTTATCACACCCTGAGAGATCTCACTACCGCCTAACCAACGGTACTAACAACAGCACCTTATAAAGCATCTTTGGAGAAAAGAATAAAAAATGCTTAAAAGCCAAAAAAGAGACGAAACGTAAAATATATACAACAACCAGGTAAAAAGGTCAGAGTAAAACAGACAATGTAAAAACAGGAAAGCTCATCGAGCGAGTCAGAAAAAAGCTTGCACTTACAGAGTTCGGATGAAGAATTTTGGACAGATACGCCACTAAGTAAGACCACTACGTACACTTTTTCAACAAATCCTTTGAAGCATATGAGAAAGACAACACGTGGCTACCAAATGTCTGCCTAAGCGTCAACTAATATTTGTATGCATGTCCTGTCAATTACTTTAAAATTATAATATAAACTTGTCTCCTTTTTTGAATTCATGAATTTTTTTTAACCACTCAAAGTGTCTTGTTCGGTTTTCATACATTTTTTAAAAAATGTATACTATCATTTTGGTTTTTAATCAACGGAATGGTTCTAGAGCAAGTTTTTAACTATGTTGATTTGGGAGTTAATATGGACCCTAAGCTTAATTTCAGTCTTCATATTGATACCATGGTCTTGAAAGCAAAAGCTGTCCTCAGTTTTGATAAACGTTGGTCTAAAAAATTTAGAGATCCGTATAGTACTAAAACACTTTATACAACTTTGGTTAGACCTATATTGGAATATGGCTCTGTTGTATGGAACCCTAGCTACCAAATCCATTCTGACAAATTAGAGTCGGTTCAAAAACAATTTTTACTTTTCGCCTTAGCGCATTTCCGATGGGATGCAAGGGTCAGTCTACCTCCATACACTAGTCGTTTAAAACTTATTAATCTACCTACACTTTCTAGTGTAGTGAAACTTTTGAATGGAACTATTTGCAGTTCTTTTCTCCTGTCTGAAATTAAATTTAATATCCCGGTTCGCCTTTCGAGGCAGTTTAGACCTTTACTGCTAAAATCCTGTAGATCAAATTTTGAAGTAAACGAGTCATTCCGCCGTATATGTCATGATTTTTATTCTCATTCCAGCACATTTGACTTATCTGAATCACTTTTCAAAATTAAAAAGACTTTATTGTTTTCTCTTAATAAATGAAAATGTAACAATTTATTATATTGTAACTTTAGATCTTGGCTGTTGAAATTTTTGTTTCTGTAGCTGAGCAGTTTTAGATCTCAACACTTAAAAAACTCTCTTGCCTTTTCTGACTCGGCTAATTCCGCACGTATGCGGATTGCGCCCCTGGCGTCGGTTGGGCGGGAGGAGGGTAATCGTTGGGTTATTATTATTAATATGCAGATGAGAGAGACAACACGTGGCTACCAAATGTCTGTCTAAACGTCAACTAATATTTGTATGCAAGTCCTGTCAATTGAATTATTAAAATTATAATATTAACTTGTTTCCTTTTTTGAATTCATGTACTTTTTTTAACCACTCAAAGTATTTTGTTCGGTTTTCGTACAATTTTTAAAAAATATATACTATTATTTTAGTTTTTAATCAATGAAATATTCAGCAATTTGACTGCAAATAAATTTCTTTAAGTAAATCTTATGGGTAATGTGGTATTGTAGATTACTATTTCTGATATATTATATCACATAACCAACCAAATTCAACGAAACTACTTTTCTTTTCTATCTAAGATATTAATGAAATATCCTTCAAACTACATAACATATCGGAATTGTGTTTTGACAGGATACACCTGCGCCGAAACAATAATTAATTATGAATGCTTTTTTGTAAAAATCGTTTTAGAATTTTTGAGTTACTGACAAAAAACATATACTTATATCAAATTACCCTAACTTAATATTTGAATGAAAAAAAATGACAGCCGTTTTCTTGAAATTATTGGTTTTTTAATAATATATGTATATTTATGATTTTCGTGAAGATTTGGCTACTGGAAAGTCTTTTTTAAGTCTTCAGCAATAATCTGCTAACATTCCTGAAATCCATTTCCCTTGATACCGCTTCTTCATCAGGAAATGTCCTGATGGAACCTCTTGCCTTTTTGGTCACTCACATCACCTAAATTTTCCGGAAAGAGATGCAAATAAGAGTCCAGCACATGTATTTTTAAGGACATATTACACACCAAAGCTTTATATGACATTAAAAGTTCATTTTTTAAGTTTTTGTAATTTTTCGAGAAAGTATATTCTAGTGGTTTAATCTAGACCCCAAAATCACGTATTAAATCGTTAGAACACTTTCGTGGCATGTTTTCGATCTAACAAACGTACATAGATATTGTTGTGTTTCCACTTATTTAAATATCAAACTTACTTTAAGAATTATGATTATATATACAAAAGATACTGAATAAGGTTATAAGTATTAACTAATATCAGAACACGTCCGTACTTAACGGCAGCGCAATCCAGAAGAAGGAAGGACGTTCAGTTCCGCCAACTATGAACACTTAAATTCAAAGGTCGTACAATTTTACGTTCATATCACATCCCCCTTCTTAATTATATACTAAATTATTTCTATTTCTTTCTAAAATCAGGAGGTGTGAAACGAATTCTGATATTCTGCAACGTTTGCCTCCAATTGCGATGGCGCGCAGTTTTGGTGTTTAAAATGAGATACTTGTGTGGATATATTTGGTTGCATGTTTGACTCGCCTTGCAACGTAACCATTGCGGAATTTGTGGGTATCGATTCAGGTACTGATATCCATTGATATGACGGTATTATGCAGGGTATTTTGCTATTACCTCGTTTTATCTTGGTTTGAGTTATATATTATATTTGATTTTACCATAAACATCATTATTCCAACCGGATTAATCATAATGAATCGGATAAGTTGCTAAATGTTTGACTACGGCTCATCTGATGGATAGACCTTCGTTGATATTTTTGCGAACTACTTTTTTAAATGTTTGAACAAAACGCTCAGCGAGTCCATTGGATGCTGGATGAAACGGTTCGGTTGTTATGAATACCATGTAACTTGCAAAATTATTGCGTCGGATGTTAACTGAGGTCCATTTTCACTAACTAGTGTATTGGGAAAACCTTTAATGGCAAAAATTGATTTAAAAGAATGTATAGTATTATCTGTTGTAGTTGAAGATAACTGTGTCACGAATGGAAATTGCGAATAAGCATCTATGCACACTTATGTGACACATAGAATCGAATATCGCGCCAGCAAGGTCGATATGGAAGCGTTCACATGGTGCTTTCGCTTCTAGCCAACTAAGGTATTGAAGTATAGGAGCTGGATTGTCAACTTTACAGATTTCACATTGACGTGTAACTTTTAGCCACCAAACGTGATGTCATCCTAATTGTTTCATTCGTTCTGTTCCCTAATGTCCATCTTGTAAGAGTCCTAAAATATTTTGCTGTAATGATTTTGGGATAACAATACGTTTGCGTGTAAGCAGAGAAGATTGAGTTGAAGACCTAAAGCTAATCTTCGATGAAAATATGGTCGAATTTCAATATCACCTAGGGATAGTTGTGTAAATCAACCGGTTTTAACAAAATTTGTAACTTTACGTAGCACATCGGCCCGTTCTGTGTGCTCACGAATAATATTATATTAGCATTTAT